TTGAGTTTATCTGAAAGAATGGTGTACTTCTTACATCCTCCTAAGGGCAGGTGCTGCGAGTTTTTGTTTTAGATGCGAAAGTCTAATTTAAGAGTCTAATTAGGCATCACAGCATCTTCTAAAATGGTAGGAAAAGGTGGATATTATTATCTCCATTTAAAGGGAGATACAACCAAACATGAGTTCAAAAACACGGGAGAGGGCAGGCGGCCAGAGAGGAGGGGTCATTCATTTTGCCCTGGGAATCTGCCATGTATTCGTGAGGTATACATGTTAATAAACAAACTTCTGCTGTTTTTCTTGTTAGTCTGTCTTTTATTACAGGAGTCTCAGCCAAGAACTCAGGAGGATAGAAGGAAAATGACTTTCCCTCCCCTATAGTTTCCGGTAACCCAGATGGGACCTGCTGGGGCACCTCTACTTGCTCCAAAGCCGGCAGATGGGATCCTGGGAAATCTGGCAGAAGCTGGCAAAGGTTAAGACTTCTTAGCAAAGTCTACTCTCCTAGATCTTTGTCTCTACTGCCAGGTCGAGAGAGGAAGGTAAAAATTCTATGTTGTTCCTGCCTTTCCAAATTCAGCTTAGCAGGAGCAAAACACGTGTTAGGAATTAGTTCTTTCAAATGTGGCTGGTGAAGCTGCTCTCAGGTACCCACTGGTTATGCATCCTGTTCCTCCGTTTGTCTTGTTTTGCGGTCTGAGAACTTGGCTTGGATTTCTGTCTGCTGGGACATGCGGGTTATCAGTTCTTATGTCAAAAGTCGTAAAAAGTACAACGCAAAGAGTGAACCCTAATGTAAAGTACGGACTTTTGTTAATAACATATCAATACTGGCTCATCAATGATAACGAGTGCAAGGTGTTAATAACAGGGGAAGTTGGGGGGCGGGTAAGGGGTACACGGGACCTCTGTACTTTCCACTCATTTTTCTGTAAACTGAAACTGCTAAAAAAAAAAAAGTCGTAAAAAGATCACACACAGAGAGAACAGGAAGTGTAATGTCTGTGTGTTGGAGGCATGGGGGGCGGGGGGCCGCCTTGGGAGTGATGTGTCTGGGAGATGAGGGGGTGACCTAAGCGTCCTGAGCTTCTCAGGGTGACAGAGCCACATATTGGGATAAATGAGAAAACAAGATCACTGATTACAGACTCCAGACAGAGAAGTGCTGAGGCTGTGGGAGGGTGGAGACTTTCTGGGGTCCTTTCTTCACGCCTGCTAACGGTGATGAGGAGGCCAGGGTGGGAGGCCGTCTCATTCTTGGCAGAAGGCTTTACGCCCTCCGAGGGTCTGCAAAACTCAATGAGATTTCTGGCCTACCGAACTAGAGCATATAGAAACCCCTGCACTACAGTCTTTCCTTTTTCAAGTGGTAACTAGTGCTTCAATCTGTTCTCAGTTTTCTATTTGGTATTTAAGTGTTCTTTATGGGAGCGTGGCTGTTCCTACCATGCATAAGGGTTTTGAAGTCTCGAATTTGAGTATTTAGAGAGCTATAGGAAGGCATGTGTGTCCAAGAGCCATCTTCACATTTCTTCATGAACTGCTCAAAGAGGAGCCTTAACTCCTTGTTCCAGCTGGGGTTGGGGAGAGAGCGGTCCTTCGGAATGACCTCCTCTGAAGAAAACAACCTCTAAAAGACAGAAGAAAAACAAGAGTCATGGGATGTCTCAACACATCCTCCTATTTTTAAAGACTGTGGCGGCTCTTCCTGTTCCCAGAAGCTTGTCATTTCGGAGAGGGAGCAAATTTTAAGGATGACCTGGTCCAACCTCCATGGGTGAAATGGCAGATGTAGAGAAGGTAAACGATTTGCTCAGTGTTACCCAACATGCCATTGGCAGAGCCGACATTAAGTCTGCGGACTCCATTCTTTTTTTCAAATGAAGCATAGGTGAGCCAGACACTGGCGATAAAGAGAGATGAAGGATAGAGACTTTCTCCATGTGAAAAGTGTTACCAGTGGGGTAAGCACAGGAAGCCAGCACACAGGGGAGAGGCATTCAGCTCAGCCTGGGGTTTCAGGGAGGTGTTCTCTGACTTGAATCCTGATTAGACAAGCAGAAATCAGGCAGCTAGAAAGTATACTGTAGGCAAAGAATCACTGTGCAAAAGCAAGGAGACACGGACCAGTTCTGAGGGGCCTTACCACCCTGTGAAACAGGTACCAATTATTATCTCCGTTTTGCAGATGATGAAACGAAGGCCTACAAGAAACTGGGTGCACGGGGGGGGGGGGAGCAGAGATGGAGGCAGGGGCTGGACTGCGAGAAGCCTTCACACTGAGCTGACTGGTTTGGATAGTCTCTGGGCTCTGAGGGGTTTTACACAAGGGGAAACCATGCTCAGAGCTGGCCTCAATCAGAGAGTGTGGGACTGACCAGGGCTGGATCGGAGGGCCCTGTCTGGGCTACTGGAGGCCCAGGTGAGAAATTACAAGTGCACATAGCAGAATTTGGCAACTATTTGGATAACGAGAGTGAGGGCGGAGGGAAAACACACAAACCAATCCCAGGTGTCTGAAATGTGCAACAGAGCGGGCAACAGAGCAGATTACCGAGAGAATACAGAGGAAGAGGAAGCTGCGGGGACAAGCGCTCGGTCAGAGCAACAACAGCTTCCACTCGCAATTTCTCTATGGCACCGAGCACTGCTGATATGGGAGAGCCCCCTGTAGGGGCCTAGGCCCAGACCCTGGGCCAGGGAGGCTGTGCCTTGGGCCAGACAGGCTCATTTTGGACATGCCCCCACCCTAAGGAATAAGACAAAGTCATACTTCAGCTGAGCATAGCAGAACATCCTGTTAAGCTAGCTAGACTAGTAGGATACGGTCATAATGGAGAGTAAATTTTGCAAAATTAGGTTACAACAATAGATTATTTTACAGATTACCCATTTTCACACCTAGCTCAGGACGTTTTGCAAAAACTAACTGCTTTTTTGCTTCTGTACACTTGCTTCTGCAAGCTCCCGGAAATTAAGTCCCTATAAAACTTCCACCCTCTAAGACCTCGGGCCATTCTCCTCTTGCAGAATGAGGCGGTCGCCAGGCTTGGCTGAATAAAGCTTTTGGAACAAAAACCTCTGTCTCTCAGGTCTTTACTAACGAGCAAGGACCTAACACCCCCACTATAGGAATTTTAAGTCTCCTTTCCCCCAGTTTCTTAGCTCCCTAGTTCCTGATCTTAATCACCTTTCAAATCAGTCTTTTAATCTTTTTTTTTTTTNCTGTGCACAAGTTGTATGTACTGGATTGTGGGTCAAAATGCAGGTCACTTCAAAACAATGACTGAGAGCTGCTGCTCCAAAGGAGGGCGTTTGTCCTTCCGTATCTATTTCAAGGTTGAATTCCCCAAACTCTTAGCTTTCTTTCACAGCTCCTGATTTGCCACGCCTAATGCTGTTTCTTTTACTGCTCCCATATTTACATTTACTAACTTGGAAAAAGATATACGAGATGAGATGCGCCTGGAAGTGGGGCGGAGGTTGGGGAGGGTGCCTTTTACTCAGGCCATGAGCAGCCTGGGGCAGGCACCCTGTCTCTTAGACTTCTAATGCTCAACAAGTGGGACAGACATGTACGTGCCGTATGTACTCTAGCAGTTGTTGAGGAAGTGACTGACTGAGAGGGCCAAAGAAAGTTCTTGGGTGATGGGGAAGCAAATGAACTGAGAAGCCATGGTGTGGAGGCTGGAGCTGCTGAGAACGGTGGATGGAGTTGGGTAGAGAGACAAAGATGGACAGATAACTACGTGGTGAAACACTCAACATATGGGGGAGGGGTTGCCAGCTTTTCGATGGCCCTCTAAAGCCATTGGAATGGATGAGATCATGAGTGGAGCACTGAGAAGAAGGGATACTAAGGCCTGAGACGTGAGGCACCCCAACATTAAGAGCTTGAGGATAAGGAGGAAGCAGCGAAAGATCCTGAAAAGGAGGGACCAGTGAGACAGGAGAATGCAGTGTCCTGGAAAGCCAAGTTCAAGCACAGGTGTCACTAGCTATGCCAAAAGCTGAGAAGTCGTTGGTTAGCAACATGAAGGTCATGGTGCCCTTGACAAGAATAGCTTTGATGGAGTTGTGGGAGGGAGTTTGGTTGGAATGAACTTGAGAGAGATTGGGAAGAGAAACGCAGCTGTGGCGCGTCTGTGTGCTGATGAGAAAGGCCTAGCAGAAAGGGGTAAGTTGGCCAAAGGGGGTGGGTGGCAGGCAGGGCACAGAGGGAAGGCTTGGCCTCTCAGTGCATTCATGATACGGAAATGCAGAACATCAGGCACAGACCAAGGTAAGTGAGGCAGTGGGGGCGTGGATGTCCTCCTCTGATGGCTTTTCTCTTAGTGACACAGAAGGCAAGGTCAGCTGCCAGTGAGGCTAGAGGGGAAGGTAGGAAGTAGTCAACTCGGAGGGCAGGGGAGGGAACAGATGAAGGAGAAATGAAATAGGACTGTCAGGCGACACTGAGGGCCCACTTGAGGCCATGTTTTAAAAAGCAGTCACAATAATCCGTGTAACTCAGGCCTACTTCAGGAATCCAACGCTTGGCAAAGCACAGATGCTCAACAGATATTGTTGAATGAACAAATACTGGATGTTATTGTGCAAATCAGAAATCAAAAAGGTCTTTACAGGCTGACTCCAAAAATGAAGAAAAGAATAGATGTATCAGTTAGGCTCAACAAGTCAGCCACAGAGGTACAGAAGATGGGGAACAAACAGTTAGAATGAAAGACACAGGGTGTCAGTGACTATCAGTCAACAGTGTGACATGGCCCCTTACCTAGTGCTAAGGTCTTATTCTGCACGGAAAGACCATCATTTGTGTTCAAGCTGAGTTGGGGAAAGTGTAACTGAGGATTCTGAGAAGTGGAAGTGTGTCCTGGGAAAAGCAAGCAGGAAGGTGAAAGAGACTGAACTACCCTCTGGGAGAAATGACTGAAAACAAGAAAAGATTGGCCTGGCGATAAGAATTGGCAGGTGCGCAGGAGACGCATGTACCTAATTCTACACGGAAGAGGATTATACTCACTCTGGGTCCCTAAATGGTAGAGCGCAATGCATGGGTGAAAGTCATGAGTGAAAGCTCAATTCAGTCTAAGGAAGAGATCACTAATCATTAGAGCTGCCCCCAAAGGAAAAAGCCCCTTTGCCCCAAGTGCCCCATGAATGGAGGGGTTCAGGTGAAGTCCGGATGACCGGCTGTAAGGGTTAAT